AAAGTCAAGTTGAGATCAGGCAGAGCATGTTCCAACTTAAATGTTACTAAATTATTAAGTTATCCACATTTTATAGCTGTTCCCACTAGAAGAATGCTTTTTAGATTTTCTTTTTTAGTAGGCCATTGAATCTTTTTTACTTTATGGAGCGGTAAGAAATGCATGAAGGCATTTGAATTTAGAGAGGTTGTCTTGCATGTATATCTGAGCATTGGCATTTCGAGTCTATAAAATAAATTGACAGTGAATGTTTTATTTACCTGTTAGAATCACAGCTCGATCATCAAGTAGCATTTGGCCAGATATATTAGAATAGACAATGGCATATAAATGGAAGAGGAAAGCACTTAATCAAAACGATTGGTGTGCAGATCGCATGGGTATTTTAATGCTTTAGACAACAACCTGTGTTTATAACTCAGATGCAGAGATTAAAAGTAAATCCACCATCCTGCGTCTTTTTTTTTTATTTGTTGTTGTAACCAGCAAAAGAATTCCCTTGGTTATTAAAAGTGGTCTAGTTGCAGAATTGTTCTAATACTTCGCCTGTCTAAATGGCCAAGCTCTTTGATAAAACTGGCAAGCATGAATGACAGGCGCACACCCAAGGTTAGACTGCAGTGTTGGCTTCTCCCTGGCTTTCTCTCCCTTTAAGCCTCCCTTTCATGTGTAGCCAAGTGAAAGTCTCCGAGTGAAATGTAAGCTCTGCGGAACCCCAGGGGCCCTGGCCCGATGAGAGGATCCAGAAGCAGAGCAGCCGTTTGGAAAGCCTGCGGAAGGCACGGAGGGCAGAGGCCTCGGGTGCTGACATGACTCCCAGACCTTTGAAAGGAGATGAATGAGGAGACTTCGCCTCCCTGGGCTCTGGGATGTATTTACCCACCAGAGTAGTCCCAGGTTTTCAAACCTATTGTTTTGGGCTTTAGCCTTCAGATGTTGCAGAAGGAAAATGTGTTCTTTTATTGCTCTTCCAAGTGGTTTAACCATTTATCCTTAATCATCTGCAGTCTGGGTGGGAAGAAGTCTTCTAAAGATCACTGAACTTTGCTTGATTTGAAATCAGAGGAGAAACTCGTTGCATTTCATGTGGGAAACCTTCTTTGGAGAAACTTGACACAAACTGGCTTTTCAGTGTCTTCGAATGTAATTGAAAAAGAACACCATAGAAAAACACTGCCAGATGCACACATGTCTGCTCCTGGGTTAGATTGCCATAAGCTTCATGGCTCTTTCTCTGTGGTTATTGATCATGGAAATAACCGTGGCAGTCAGCATTTAGCAAGTCAGTGTGAATTAATGAACTTTGGCTTGCATCACAGGGCTGCAACCCTAGGCTAGCCATAATGTCTACCGCTGTTATCATAATACATTTTTGCCTTGCCACTTGCTCAATTAAGAAGACTTGATGGTTTTAGAAGCACTTAATAGACTTGCATTGTGGAAAAGTTAATTCATCCATTAGGCCACTGGTGTACGGATGTGATCTATAAAGCAATACATTTCCTCGGGTTCCCACACCAGCATATCACAAAAGGACCATACTGAGGGTCGTTTGGGAACTGTACAGACCCTTCAAGGCACCGTGCAGAAAGGTTTCTAAGAGTACTAAGTCTGAATCTTGGTGCATGGATTTGGCTGGCATAGATTTGGGCAGAGTAGGCCAAATAGAGCTAATTGAGGTGGGGGAAGATTGAGTGAATGGGCCATAATGGTGAATAGAGTTATTTGTCATTGAGTTTGTAATAGGATTTTCAATTAATTCATGCAGGCTTCCAGTGCCTTCCATTAGCCCTGTCAAGATGAACTACAGCCCCATCTAAAATGCCATCCCCTATTAAACGGTGCGTGTCAGTGAATTTGTAATTTCTTCTGTTCAACCAGAAGATGAATGGGTCCGACTCAGAAAACAAATGGGGTGCTTCAGAAATGCACATTTCCAAATCCTCACCCCTTTGTAGGGAGGGACATTCTTTGCATTGTTCTGTGGTGAATATATATTAAAAACTGTAATTGCCACGTGAATGCATCCAAAGGGAAGAAAGCATCTAGCAGTGTGGAGAAAAACACCTCGGCAGGTGTCCATCTCGTACCAGGCGATGGTCGTGGTGGTTATGGTAATGATGATGTTAGCGTGTGGCATTTCCTGCCTTCTCGGCCATTTTGAGGGACTTAATGTACATCAACTGACTAAATTCCAGTCCAGATGAGGCACAGAGAGGTTAACCTGTGTAACCAAGGTCACACAGCTAGTACACGAAGGTGCTGGGATTCAAGATGTGGATTCTGTTTTCTCTGAATCCGTCTCATGAACCACCTGAGTTCATTGGGTTCTCACCTGCTTTCTCCTTCTAGCCCCCCCCCCCCCCCAGGAACAGCAACACTTCTTACTGTGTTCATCCACTTGGATTTCTTCAAACCTATCTCAGGAAAATGTTGATAAGTGATGACAACCAGATTTCCCCCAAAGACAGACGTGGTAGGGAATTTCATCAAGCCTAGGTGAGGAGAGACAAAAATTGAAATTCTGCCTTGCATGAAGTTGGCTGCTGAATGGAATGTGGACCAGGTTTGTCGTGAAGGACCAGAGTTCCTGGATTTGTAGGGAGCAAGAGGGAGCAGTAGAATTACATGTCAGGTTGTGTGAAGGCTGTTCGTTCATTAGAGGCCAGGTCTTAAGGCAGCATTAAAAACGTTAATAGGAAGTTCTGTTGCCATCAAAGGTATACAACTGTGACAACACTTTGCCTTTCGTTTTGTTGTTGTTGGGGAAAGTATGGAGAAATAATATGAGTCATGTGACTTACTAGAATGATTAAAGTTTCAAGCATTTCATCCAGGTGCTGGTGGTTCACGCCTGTAAATCCTAGCTCCTCAGGAGGCTGAGATCTGAAGATCGAGGCTCCAAGCCTCGCCGGGCAAGAAAGTTCATGAGACTCTTATCTCCAATACATTACATACACAGACTCCTCATAAAAGCTGGAAGTGAAGTTGTGCTGGAGCACTACTAACCTGAGCTAGTAGAGCTCAGGGTCAGTGCCCTGACACACACACACACACACAACACACACACAAAACACACCCCACAGAAAAATTAAGGATTTTTAAGCCAGTAATTCACCCGGGGTTGTTACCCAGCCACCCCCTACAGGTCTGTTTTCCAGTCTGCTGAACTGCCTGACACCTGATCGTACCCTGTCTACTGGTGCTTCCTATAAGGGACTTAACCATTGCTCACAAGATCCAGCAAACTCTTTAAGTTGTTGACCTGCCACACAAGACCCATCATAAACCAGCTGCCTCTCCTATACTTCTGGTTCTTTCATTCTTCCACAGGAGTGTCAGGATCTTGGTGAACCTTGGTCCTCCTGCCTGCCATGCTACTGCTCACAAGCATACATCCCCCTGCCAAGAGTGTTCCCCTCTTTCCTTCCTCTACTCCAGCTTTGCCCAGCTGACTTAGGTGTCATCTAAGAACTGGGCAGTGTTTCATTTCCACCCCCAAACCTCAAGTTCATCAACCACGTCTGCAGCTCTGCCTTTGCATTTCCTATACTGTGTTACCATTTCTGATGTCTTATCTCTTCAGAACAAAAGAACTGAGCTGTGTTCAGTCCTCAGCCCTAGCACAGTTGCCTAGGGGGTGCAGGGGGCACAGTCGAACCTTGCTATTTGCTGGGGGGAATGAATGCATAAAGAAAGAGTTGAGAAAAGGGAGCCTCCAGTGTAATTCAAGGAGTTACAGGTATGTTTGATTTACCATTTATCCTTTGAACCAATGATAGGCTCCGGAATGCCCAGAGGTAGTCACGTGCCAGCGAATGCTCATGGATGGACACTTCAGTGCATTTCCAAGTATCATATTTAATCCATTTCGTGATTTAATTGCTTTGGAGTGGGGTCACACAACTTTACCATAATGCAAGGCAGTAACATTTAAATCTCCTCTCTTAGCTCATCAGCCTAACAATGCTTCCCAAACAGGAAAGGCCAAAGTTGAGTAATAGTTCATTGGAAAAGACAGAATACTTACAGGTTACGGGAAGGGACTGGGACTGCCTTACTCATTGTTGGGTTCCGGTCTTGGGCATACGACCCGCCTCTGATAAATACTTGTTGAGTTTCTGAGACACTGTAATGTGCTGTCCACATTAGAAGCTGTATTGGCAAATGTTTGCTCAGACTCACTCTTGATCTCTCTCTTTTTTTTTAAAATCAGTCATGCTTAAGAGCAATTGGGAAACTGATAAGTGGTACTTCTGTTTAAGATTTTTTTTCCTCAGCACTTACCATTGATCCTAATAAAGTAGTTAGATGAAGTTTGTTTTTATTTTAATGAATGTTAAAATTTCATACTAGAGAGTCAGGCCCAACAATTATACTTTCATGTACTAATAATCCCAGGCCAACAGACTAGAATTCCCACTACGTTAAATCTAGGAATAGAAAGCTAGATTGAGGCTGGTGCACAGATAACCTACTGTTTTAAATCTTATTATTAAGATTTGCTTAATATTGATTATTGATTGGTAACACATCAGTTTTTTTTTTTCTTTTATGGGGACGAGGTTTCTGGGGTTTGAACTTGGGGCCTTGCACTTGCTGGGTAGGTGCTTTACTGCTTGAGCCATGCCCTCACTCCCAACCACAAGTAGCATTTTTGCCCTGGTGGTTCTGGATAACAATATATTTACTCTTCCTACATAGCTAGGATGATAGGATGTGTGCCACTGCCACGCCTGGCTTTCTCATGATTGAAATAGGCTCTCACACTTTTAGCCTCAAACTGCGACCCTCCCAGTTTTCACCACCAGAGTCTCTCAGATTATAGATATGAGCCACCATGCCTGACTGCAAATAGTTTTTTTCTGCAAGACTTACCTCCAAGTGCAATGTGTGGATAGGACCTTCATGTAAAGACAGTGATTTGTGTAGTTGTATTGTTAGAGATATTATTAGACTGTTTGTTCATTAAAATCCATCTCTCTCTCTCTCTCTTTAAGGGTATACCTCAGTTACCATGTGCCAAAGCATTATATAACTATGAAGGAAAGGAGCCTGGAGACCTTAAATTCAGCAAAGGAGACATCATCATTTTGCGACGACAAGTAGATGAAAATTGGTATCATGGAGAGGTGAATGGAGTCCATGGCTTTTTCCCCACCAACTTTGTGCAGATTATCAAGCCGTTACCTCAGCCCCCACCGCAGTGCAAAGCACTTTACGACTTTGAAGTGAAAGACAAGGAAGCAGATAAAGATTGCCTGCCATTTGCCAAGGTGAGGTTGCGGGGAGATTGCTTTCTGTTCCCCTGTGAGTCTTCCCTATGTGGAATATGGATGATATTTCCTCTTGCAAAAAGATAAAACTTTGTGCCAACTATCTCATTATGCTTCTAAAAAATACCTGTAGGTCTTCTTCTTTGAGTCTTAAGGGAGATAATTCTGTCCTTTGACCCCTCCTGTGAAAGATCATTCTGGTTGATATTCTGGGTGGCATGATTTTAGAGCATATTTAGAGCCACCGTTGATTTTGAAGGGTATGTGTGCTACCCAGGGATGGTAAAGTACTGAATTGTGAAATGGAAATGTCATGACTTCCTTATTTTATATGCAGATCTCTTTGCTGAAAAGCACATGCAGGAATCTGTTTACTAAATTGATAAACAGTTTGGAATTTTGAGCAGAATATGGTGTTTTTGTTAAGAAAAGCAAGTAGGCGGTGCAATTCAGAGGGCAGTTGGTATGTTATCAGAGGGAGAAAGTAGGAAGCATGAAAGCGATTTAAACAAAAAGTCCAGACGTTGTTGAGTAGCCTTTGAAGTTGCAATTTCTGGAAATCAGTAAAATAAGCATCCAGCTCCTTGCGTAGACAGTGATAGTTTACAGCTGTCTACAACTTTGGATTGAGATTGATTGATTGGTTGATAGTTATCATTTAGTTCAAGAAAACTACAGAGCTATGTACTAAAGATAGGCTGTAGCAGTTTTGTTCATATATGCTTAAAGCTTGAGTGCTTTCATTGAGAAGGAAAATTAAATGATAAATTGAATGGGAGCAGGGAGATTCACAATCCACTGTTTCTTATAGGATGATGTTCTGACTGTGATCCGCCGAGTAGACGAAAACTGGGCTGAGGGAATGCTGGCAGACAAAATTGGAATCTTTCCCATCTCATATGTGGAGGTAAGTCTATCTGCAACATCTCAAATCCTATTCGTATTCAGCTTAGTAAATGAATCTTAATTATGCAATCTGAATATTAAGAAGCTCTGGCACCCCGAGGTCTCAGGAAGACCCTGTTTGGCATCAGTGAGCAGATCAGGAAGAATTCTCTCATTCTGTCTTTCAGTTAACAGAAACTGAAATGTTTGAAACTCTTTTTCCTTTGTCTCCTGGCTAAAAGCATTCCTGTGCCTGTTCAAGGTATAGAGTATGCTTGCTGTCTTCTCATTATACTATCTCCAGATTTTTCTCTTCCATTTGCTGGTCTTGGCATCAGACTGTAAAAGTTCTTAAGTGAGCGGCACTCAAGAGCAGCACCTGCCCTACCAGGCCCTGAGTTCAAGTCCCAGTATTGCCCCCAAACAAACAAACTAGTAAGTAGGGTTCTAAGTAAGGCAGGAAATTACTGTATTTGTTTCTTTCTTTTATTGTCTGTCACCTCATCAGAATTAGAACACAGTAGCGTCGTTCTATTATGTTAAAGGAAAGCACAAATTAAAGATGAACTAAGGAAGGGAGTTTTGAACTCCTAGTTCTTTCCCTCTTTTTCTATTTCTCCCAATTTTAACCCTGCTATATACTAAAATAAATCCGTGCTAAAACTTAAAAACAAACAAAAATGAACTAGGAAGGTACTCTTGACACACCCGTCCTTCATTAAGGTATATATCAAAACGTATTCTTTAGTAAGAAGCAGTTCTTGAGGAAGACAAAGCTGAAAGCATTTTACAAAAACAAAAATAAAACAACAACAACAACAAAACGAACGCACAGTTGAGCCCACCCCCCAGGATGGCTGAGGGGTCAGGAATAGCTGGCAATATGATGGCTAGCTTGTGGTTCTCCAAGAGAAGTCGGAAAGCTGTGTAAAAAACTAAAACTAAGAGCAAGCACAGATCATCAATTGACTGGGACTGAAAGGAATTATGTTGTTTAAAGTGTCCAAGCATCTATCTTAAGCATATTTAAAAAGAAAAATTCAGTATCACTTACTTGCTGTGCTTTTGCTCTGAGGCATTTATTTGTTCTGGCATGATTGTGAAGAGTAATTTGACAAGAAGTGTGTCATGGTAGCTAGCACTCGGTTTCCTCCTTAGACTCGAGGTTGACAGAGCCTTCATCCAGTCAGTTTGACTATTCTACATCCTTGGAAAAGGAATTGAAATGAGCTACGACTCTTGAATGGTATTCCTACCCTTGAGAGGTTCTCGTGTGTCCAAATATATTCTTCTTGCTTTCAAAGTAAACAACAGAAAATGATCTTTCACATACAATCCCTTTCATACTTTATTTACATATTCTAACTGTGGGTCATGGAAAACTACAAGCATCCTTACGTAGTTGAGTGGTTACGCTTAAGAGTACGAGTCATCACAGGTGGTTAGCAGAGGCTTGCCTCTACTTGTCAGGTATTAGCAGTGTGACAAGCCCCTGCTTCATTTGTGATGCATGTAAAGGTAGTCCTCTGGTTTTGTTATTGGGCAGATGAAGACGGCATGGGTTGGCAGGGATAGATCTGCCCATGTCTAGAGTCATTGAGTCACTTAGGTTATTGAAATTATGTACTCAGATGATTAACTCCAAAGGGTAAACTTCTGCCCAAGTGGAAAGTATGTTTGTGCTTTTTGCCTCTTCTGTTCGATGAGCATCAGAATGTGCTAAGCAAGTCATCTGTCTCTAGGAACTATGAAGCATCTCTTTGATGTCAAGCTATCAGTTGAAGCTCCAGGAGCTTCAAGGGATTGGCATCACCTGCTTCCGCCCCCAGGGGACTGAAGCGGAGGCAGATTTCCATCACCACCCACCACGATTCAGCTGTGTCAGTGTTTGTGTCTTGCAGGACCCTTTCAGATGGGGTGTAAAGAAAACTGTAGGAATCAGACTAGAGCTTTGTTCTATGCGATGATCTTTGCTTTTGCTACAGAACTATTCATTCTGGCCTGTGTTAGGGCCTACATAGTTCCCAATATAAAAGCAGATTGTGTTACCAAAATTTACTGGTAAATAGTTTTACTCTACTTTCCTTTTCTCCCTCCCTCTTTTACCCTTTCCCTCTCCTTTTCTCCATTCTTATTTTTCTCCGGTTCATTTACATAACATTGTATTATAGAATAGACATAATGTTAGGTGAATTTGGTTTTTTTTAAATACATTTTTTATTGTAAAAATACTGTACAGAGGGGTTACAGTTACATGAGCAAGGTAATGAGTACATTTCCTATCAAGCATTGTTACCTACTCCTTTGTTTTAACTTGAGGGTATTGTAAGGACTGGGATATTTTTATGTAGAGTAGGTTAGAACTTAATGTTCACTAGATTGAATATATTAAATACACACCTCTCTTAGATTATACATTACCATCAATGTATTGGACCATAATGATACAGGCAGTTGAGCATCTGGATTTAGAGGGAACAGTGTCCAGTCCATTGTAGCAAATACTAAGTGCTTACTCCGTAAGGAAGAAACAAAGGCAAAAGCATATCTTGAATTGGAGCTGGACTCACATTCACAGAAAGGCAGGTCTCACAAAGAACCACAAGCATGGGATGAAGGTAAAGGCAAATATACCCAGTCAATGTGTCTCTAGAATTGGCAAGAGCAATAGATTCTGAACCAAAATGATGGCTAATACACGGAATTGCCCAGAATTGGGATTCCCTTCCACTCTGCTGTTCCTCTAAGACCTATTGTGATTTCACAGTAGATTGCTTTGATTTTGTAGACAAGCTTTCACTATGTAGCCCAGTCTAGGCTTGAAATCATGTTTCTTCTGCCGTAGCATCCAAAGGATACAGGGACTACAAGCATGAGCCAACATGCCCAGCTCAACTACTTTTCTTACATCTTATAAACCAATGTTTAAGTCTCTGTAGATGTTGATGCTTTTGCTTACCCCCCCCCCACACACACACACATTGCTGCCCCCTAACAGTTCTCTGCCACAGGTTTTGAGATGACTGAATGAGGAAATAAGCCTCCAAACCGCTGGAGCTCAGATTAGACTATATAACCACAGTGTGTCAGTATAATGATCAAATCAGAGAGAAAAAAGCCATCTGGAACTGGGTGCAAAACCTCCAAAGCCATGTTTTTTGTAGAAGCTAAAACTCCTTTTGTTAAAGGAAACGACCAAGGATTTGCTCGTAGCACAGATTCTAACTAGGTTATGTCTGAGTTTAGGATTACAGAACCTCCGAGGGTCAGAGGTTCAGAGATTGAAGTGTGAGAGTAGGGGAAAGGCATGGAAAAGACCTTAATATTGGTGAGGAGGGGTCTGGGTTGGGGCAGGAGAGAGATGGTATCGATGACCTTACCTTGCTGTTTTCAAGACCACCCCCCCCCCCCACCTGGGTGGGAGGAAGGTGGCGCTATAGTGATGCCCTCTTATCAAAGAATGCAAAAGTTCTTCAAAGATCCACTAGAGATGGAAAGTCTCTGGTTGGAGAGAGGGAGTAGAAGAAGGGCTGCATAGCTGGGCGCCGGTGGCTCACGCCTGTAATCCTGGCTACTCAGGAGGCTGAGATCTGAGGATCGCGGTTCAAAGCCAGCCTGGGCAGGAAAGTCCATGAGACTCTTATCTCCAGTAAATCACCAGAAAACCGGAAGTGGAGCTGTGGCTCAAGTGGTAGAGCGCTAGCCTTGAGCTGAAGAGCTGAGGGACAGCGCCCAGGCCCAGAGTTCAAGCCTCATGACCGCCAAAAAAAAAAAAAAAAAGGAAAAAAAAAGAAGGGCTACATAAATGGCCCTAGTTTCTGTCCCTTGGAATGCTTGTCTTCCTCTTATGATAAAATTTCTTGTGTGTGTCTGTGTGTTGTATCTGTGTGTCTGTGTGTGTGTCTGTTTGTCCTTTTCCCCCTTCCCCTCAGGAGTCTCTTAATACACACACACACACACACACACACACACACACACACACACACACACACACATTTATTTATTTATTTATTCATGGATTGGACATAGTCCAAAGAAAAATTGATATTCTACCTCTCTCTTTGTTCAAAAACATTGGTTATCTTCTCAATAGAAGAGAAGATTTTTAAGAACCCCATTAGCTCTGAGCTGACTCATCTAGTCTTAGCAGCCATTTGGACAAGGTTGACATGACTCGTAGCAAGCAGAAAGTTTTGATTGAAGTAAGTGCTGAATATAGGATTTGGGGCTGGTTTTCACACTTTGTGTGTTGTAGGTTTGTAGTGAATTATGCATTCTTTGGTAGGTTTCTCACTTTATTTTGATTCCCTCTTGTTTGTTTGAAGTATGACTCAGCCAAGTTTTTCAACAACAACAGAAAGTATTTAACGACTTACTCCTTTGCTGCGGATAATATAAACATTTCTTATGTGCAGATGGTGCGGAGTAGGAGTGGTCTAAGGCACAACTGTTGTTACTCTTCAGATACTGCCAGGAAGAAGGGCAGCATTTGTCTGTCTTTTTTTTTTTTTTTTTTGCCTGAGACTGGGACTTAAACTTCATATCTGATGCTTTCACTCAGTGGCTGGTGCTTTACCACCTGAGCCAAGCCTCCAATCCCTTGTCCTTTTTTTAAGATGTTAGTGGTTAGTCTTCTGAGGACTTTCTTCCCTACCTCATCTACAGTGCATGGCCCCTGGCTGCCAGCCCCACCCCCCCCCCCCCCCCCTTACTGCACTGCAGGCACACCATGAATGCAGTGAGTGGTAGAGAAGACTTGACTGTAGTCAGAGGGCCAGGATTCAAGTCTAGACCTCCCTTCCCATTATCTGACTGACTTTGGACCTGATCTCCTCCTTTAAAAAAAATTAATAGTACTAGAACCTTTCCATAGGGCACATTGATTCCAATGATTAAGAACAGTGTGTGTGGCACCCTGGGAGAGTTTTACAAGGGATCATTAGTACTATTATCACCATTGTGAATCCTTCAATCTGTAATCCATGCATGTTGCTTTGTTGCCATGGTTACCATTTGCCCTAC